CATGGAGAAACCCCATGTCTACTAAAAATACAAAAATTAGCGTGGTGGCAGGCACCTGTAATCCCAGCTACTCGGGAGACTGAGGCAAGAGAATTGCTTGAACCTGAGAGGTGGAGGTTGCACTGAGCTGGGGCGCCACTGTACTCCAGCCTGGGCAACAGAGTAAGACTCTGTCTTAAAAAAAAAAATATATATATATATATATATATATATATATATATATATATAATTTTATATGTTAAAAGTGATCTTGTATAACTTGAAATTCTGTAGTAAAAAATACCTAATTTCTAGCTTTTGCTTTGATTATATTTAGTTAAATGAAGAGGTTAAATTTCCTTATTAGGTTTAATATTGTATCATATTTAAATTTATTTTTAAGGTATCCAGATGCAGATAAGACACCAGATGCAATTTATTTATTTACATATATATATATTTGTGAAATCATCTTTCTAACATTTTTTTCTTCCTTCTGTTGACTCCTTGGCCTCAAAGATGACAAACATGCAAAATGGAGGTGGGAAAACCTCACAAAATATTGACATGAAACAGTAGTATATGTGATACTGATTCAGGCTAGATTGAAATATGAACTTTTTAGTTATTTTAGGAAATTGGATGATAAGTACTAATGCTTTATATAACACTTTACTATTTAGAAAAGTCACATTTGATCATTCAGTTGATTCCCTCAAATCCTTTGAGATAAGCATGTTCATTTTACAAAATAGGCAACAAAGTCTGGCCCTGGTGATAGGTCCATGATTCATGTCCACTTCTGACTCTCAAGTTCTGTGTTCCTTTTTTTTCTCAGTCAGGTGACTATTCAGTAAATCTGACTTGGATCTTGCCTACAGGAGCTTAGTCATGAAATATCCAAATGACTTTGTAAGCAGTGTGATTCATTTTAAGATGTGGTATGATTCATTTTAAGATGTTCTCTGAAGGCAACATTGTAGTATACTGTCATTAATTACAAATGAAATGTAAAATTATGATGTGCTGATTTGTTGCAATCAATTACATTTTATGTTCAATTTTATTTTAAACCAAATGTTGAAGACCATGGCACCATGTCTAGGTGTTCCAGAGAAAAGACTGATATGGCAAGTTTTACTATGTCATAGATGTAGAGTAACTCTTTTTCTCTTTTTCCAAACTAGACTAAATGTCAGTTGCTTTATTGCTGAACTTTTAAAGTGCGCCCCTCCACCTTTTTTTTTTTTTAACTTCCAAAAAATTATTTTGGCATGTGAGATTATTTCACAGAAATATTTTATTTGGCTTAAAACTCATTTCTGAATAACCATATTTTCTCTGCCCATATAAATACAGTTCTGATTTAAAATTGTGGTTTGAATTAGAGTTCAGTTTTTGTAGAGAAATATTCAGAATCTCTGATGGGAGGAAAATAAGGGTGCCTGGAGAAAAAGAGGCATCTATGGGGACCTTTGTAGTAAGTGTTTGACTTTCTTTTCCTTTCCGAACCCCTCATAGTTAATACCATCCTTTTAGCACCATTCCTTAAATTCCGAGTTTCCCCCCAGTCTCAAATATCAGAATACATTTAAACTACTGCTTGAGTTTAACAGCCCTTTGTATTCCACATCACAGTAGCTCAGGGACAAACTGTGTGTTCTGATAGTGAGTTTAGGAAATTTTAACCCTGTCATTTTCACCTTAAGGATATTTTGACTCTACCTTTCTGAATACAGAGACTAATAAAAATCATACCAATCTTAGTAAGTTTTCATCAAGAAAGTATTTTTGATTTGGACTTTTAAACAGTTTGATTTCTTGATCAGTTTTTCATAGAGCAAAGTTAAAATTTTCTACTTTATTTTACTAAAATTTGTATTAGGCTCAGCTCTGCTTTGTGAATTTTACTCTGAAGATGTCTGTCATTTCACTTTCTCTCTCTTTTTATTTTATTTATTAATTTATTTATTTTTAGAGACAGGGTCTCGCTCTGTTGTCTAGGCTGGAGTGCAGTGGCGCAATCTCAGGTCACTGCAATCTCTGCCTCCTGGGCTCAGGCGGTCCTCCTGCCTTGGCCTCCTAAGTAGCTGGAATTACAGGCTCATGCCACCACACCTGGGTAATTTTTGTATTTCTTCTAGAGACAGGGTTTTGCTATGTTGCCCAGGCTGGTCTCAAACTCCTGAGCTCAAGCAGTGTGCTTACCTTGGCCTCACAAAGTGCTGGGATTACAAGCGTGAGCCACTGTGCCCAGCCTGTCTTTTTTAAATATGAGACAGTATAGTGTAGTGTTATATCCTGGTTATGTTCTAAAGCAGTACTGTCCAGTAGGAGTATACTGTGAGCCATGTGTAATTTTAAATTTTTTAGTGACCATGTTAGAACAGTAAAAAGCTATAGGTGAAATTAAGTTTGATAATATATTTTATATAGGGACAGGCACAGTGGCTCACACTTGTAATCCCAACATTTTGGAAGACTATGGCAGGAGAATTACTTGAATGCGGAAGTTTGAGACCAGCCTAGGCAACATCATGAGACCCCATCTCTACAAAAAGTCAGAAATTAGCTGGTTGTGGTGGTGCACGCTGGTAATCTCAACTATTCCTGAGGTTGAGACAGGAGCATGGCTTGACCCCAGGAGTTTGAGGCTGCAGTGAGCTGTAATCATGCCACAGCCTGGGCAACAGAGCGAGACCCTGTCTCAAATATATATACACACACATATATTTTATATATAACCCAATATAACCAAATTATTATATAGACATGTAATCAATATACAAATTATTAATTTTAGAGGAAAGTAGGTGGGAGAAGGGAAATCTTAGAGAAAAGAAAGGTGGGGATTGGGGGTAGGGTAGCTAAGTTTGACCTCTGTTTCTGTGCTATCTTTCTGTAGCCTTGGGGAGGAATGGATGAGGAAGGAGAAGACCATGCCCATCTTTACTGGCTCTTACTTTAGTTTGTGAGTGGGACAGTTAAGTCAAAACAGTAACAAGAGGTTGACTTATTTGCTGAGTTCTATTTATATTCAGAATGTAGTACTAGAAAAGGCCCAGATAACACCATGTGCTAGTAGTATACATGTGCACATTAGGAATCTAAAGTGTCTTTTACTGACTCAGACTTTAATAACAGTCCTGTCCACCCCCACCTTTTCGCCCTCTCTCTCCCCTTCTCTCTCTCCCTCTCTCATCCAAGTTTAAATTCCTTACTGGAAAGACAGGAAAGGAAAAGTTTGTAGTAGATTTTCCAAATACAGACCTTGCTTTTATAATATGGTTATGGCAACCATCTCTGTTTTGGTAAAATTGGTCTATTATATGAATGACATTTTGCAAGTTAGATTTCTGCAATTTAGGAAAACCACAAGCCGTTGTACAGTTAAACAAGATATTTTATATATGAATTTAGTACCACAAATCGAAATTTTTGGCATTGTACAGAAGCATTGTACAGAGCAGAATGAAAACATAAAGCATACCTGGCCTCATCTGTAAGGCTCAGAGGAAAATTCTTTAAGAAAGTGAGTTGGAAACAGAGACATGAAAGGTGAATAGGAGTTAATAGGCAGTCCTGATGGAAAAGAGCTTTCCAGGCAGGAAAAAAAGAAAAAAAAATGACAAAACATTTGCAGAATTCTTACAGTGGGAATTTAGAGTCTAGAAATATACCATACATTTATGATCAATTGATTTCCAACAAGGGTGCCAGAAGAATAGTTTCTTCATCATATAATGCTGGAACAAGTGGATATCCATGTGCAAAAGAATGAAGTTGGACCCCTACCTCACACCATGCACAAAGATTAACTCAAAATGGAGAGTAGGCCTAAATTTTAGAATTAAAACTATAAAACGCTTAAAACATAGGTATAGTTTCTTAGATATGACGCCAAAAGCACAAGCAACAAAAGAAAAACTACATTGGACTTCATAAAAATGGAAAACTTTTATGCTTCAAAAGATATCAAGAAAGTGAGATGACAACTCACAGAATGGGGAAAAAAATGTTTGTAAGTCATATCTAGTAAAGGAACTTGTATCCAGCTACTACTAGGAAAATATAGCATAATTCAAAGAAAAAGGTTTGTGGCAGAGTCTAGCATTTGGATGTGAATGTTTCTAGATAGAGCTCTCCTCTTCATTTCTTTCAGAACAAAAACTGATAATCTAGCTTAAAATTAGTGAGCATCTCTTTCAGCTCAAACTATTCATTTCTGGCATAACAGCTGTAAACTCCGTGTTTGATGGAGAGTTCCTTAGTCCAGAAATCCTTGCCCTGTGGCGTGGCTGAATTTAGGAACAGGGTATCTCCTGTTGTAGTTCTAGACTTTGCCTTTAATACTGCTTAAATTCCAGCTATTCCAGCAAGATTTTATGGATTTTGCTTCCTTTTAAAAGAATAATTTTAAAATAAAATAGTCCGGGCATCTTTCTAAGTCAGTCGTGAGCTATTGTATCTTGATTTGTATATTAGAGCCGATTATTATATTTTGCAATTTCCTTACCCCCAGAATGGTTTGTCCTATCTGCTGCATCTTGAGCCATGGTCTTAGTTGTGTTAGATGCACTTCTTAGTCAGCTCACCAAAAACAGTCTGGCCAGGAAAATAGAAAAAGGAAAATATTAAATTGTCCTTTCCACTTCCTCCCATTAAATAAGAGTGGCTCTGGAAATGTTTCATGCAAGGAGGCAGTGATGAAAATCTCTTCTTTGCTATTAAGTTTTTAAAGAGGATGAAAACCTTTCTTGGTTTTTCAGTGTTGTATTACAGAGTTGATTACTTTCTTGGGAGTAAACCATGTGAATTAATGCACTCTGGCTTCTAGAGGATTTCTATATGAGAGCCTGGTTCCCTGAACCAAAGAAGAAATGGAAGTTATTGAATATTCCCAATTAGAATAAGTGTATATATTCAGAGGTTATAATAAAGATCTCATAAATCTCATTATATAGTCATCCAGACTATTTTAATCAGTTAATGGCTATCTTTTTTCACATATTTTACAACAGATGAGCTCCGACAAGAAATGCTGGATGATGTACAAAAGAAATTGATGAACTTAGCAAACAGCTCAGAAGGAAAAGTGGACAAGTATGCTTTTTCCTTTTAATGTTTGTATATTTTGTGGAAATTGCTTTTATGGTTAAAAAAAAAAAACTTCTAAATATAGATGTTTATATGTGATTAAATTTTTCAAAAGCCTTTTTTCCCCTTACTCTGTAGTGAGGAAGGATGCAGCTTTAATGAGAAGTCAGCAGAATCACTTACCTTCTTTTATTTTTAATGTAGATTTTTTTCCAACGCATTTTATTTTCTTAAAACCATATGGAAGAGCTAAAATATCACCTCAGTAAGAAGTACTTAGAAAATTAAAAATTTACGTTTACCATTCTTTGTTGCTTCTTTTACTGTCCTTAAATGAATGTAGTCTTGCTCAAATGTATTAGATCTGAAACCTCGGTATCTATGTAACAGTAGCTCCTTTAATATTTTTAAAATGTATATATTATTAGTAAATTTTTAATAAATTTGGATGGGGAAATATAAGCATAACATTAAACACAACAGTCATCACCATTTAAGTTTCTGCTTCAGGTGAACATTGGCCCAGTCAGGCGCTTGGAATTACTAAGGAGGCACCACCTCAGTCAGTTATTGGGTTGAAGAAAGTGGGTGGCTAGTAAGTGAGGTTTTAAAAGGTATACATCGGCCGGGCCCAGTGGCTCAAGCCTGTAATCCCAGCACTTTGGGAGGCCGAGACGGGCGGATCACGAAGTCAGGAGATCGAGACCATCCTGGCTAACATGGTGCACGGTGAAACCCCGTCTCTACTATAAAATACAAAAAAAAAAAAAAAAAAAAACTAGCCAGGTGAGGTGGCAGGCGCCTGTAGTCCCAGCTACTCAGGAGGCTGAGGCAGGAGAATGGTGTAAATGCAGTGAGCTGAGATCTGGCCACTGCACCCCAGCTTGGGCGACAGAGTGAGAAAAAAAAAAAAAATACATTTTGGGATGTTTGAAATATTCTTTTTTATTTTATTTTGTTTGAAATATTAGACTTGTCAAGATTTTTTAAAGACACTTTAAAATATTTTGTTTAGACTTTTTTAATAAGTAAATACTTAATTGTTTAATATAATTAAATATTTCTATGTTTAGTGTTTGGGTGCACTTAATGTTGAGTTCACTTGAGCTGTTTCGGCCTTTATTTTCAGAGTCCTAATGAGAAACCTCTTCATTGGTCATTTCCACACACCGAAAAATCAGCGTCATGAAGTGTTACGGTTGATGGGGAGCATCCTGGGCGTCAGAAGGGAGGAGATGGAGCAGGTGACTGGATGATGAAAGCCATCTGAACACATTCATAACCCAGATAGTGGCTTTGTAGACAATTACTTCCTTTTACTCTATGTAACTTTTACTGAGTGTAATTTTCTCAGTGTGGAAATGGAATTACTTCATACAACATTGAAGAGGCTGATTTGTTCAATATGTATGATAATAGTTTAAATGTTTTGTAACTTACAAACCGCTTCTCATATCAGGTTGCTGAAATGTTGAAATATCCTCAAACTTTCATTTGAGATGGTGCTTGGGATGGCATTTTATTGTATTTGTAGCCTCTATCAGTAGGAAACATTTACTAGGACTTGAAGAGCATGCTTTACAACTATCAGAAATTATGTAAAACTGGTCCTTGTTTTTTTTTCTTGTACTGATAATATTTGTCTATTTTAAAATAATCTTTCAGTTGTTTCATGATGATCAGGGCGGTGTTACCAGGTGGATGACTGGGTGGCTTGGAGGAGGATCAAAAAGTGTTCCCAACACACCTTTGAGACCAAATCAGCAATCTGTGCTTAATAGTGTAAGAACCAATTTTATTCTTGCTTAAGGTGAATAGTGAAATGACTGTATATTACATTCACTTGCAAAGAATCAGATTTCTTTTTTAAATTATTTTATACAACCCTTTTATTTTGAAGTTGCAGAAACTGAGTTCCAGAGAGGTGATTAAGCTTAAGGATAACAAGCCAGTTTTCATAATTTTATTGCATATAGGTTTTATTTTAACTTTGTATGGTGCTTTTATTTTTCACGATATTAACTTTTCCTTTGTACTTGATCATGCTGCCATAGGCAGTCTTGCTACTAAATTATGATAGCAAGATAGAGGATTTGTTTTATTTGTGTATATATGTTCCAAATCATTGAGCCAGTAAATACTTACTGAGTACCTGCTGTGAACTAGACTGTTCTAAGCATTGAGGATGCAGCTGCAAACTGGATAGACAAGGCGCCTGCCCTCATAAAACTTAGATTCTCAAAGGAGGAGGCAGTTAATAAACATGAAAACACAGTGCCTGGTATGTTGTAGGCGCTAGATGAATATTAATTGAGTTGAGTAGCATTATGAGTTAGAATGTGGAGTTTCTTTCTCTTAGTTTTTTTGTTTGTTTATTTGTTTTGAGACAGAGTCTTGCTCTATCGACCAGGCTGGAGTGCAGTGGCATGATCTCGGCTCACTGCAGCCTCGGCCTCTTGGGTTCAAGCAATTCTCCTGCCTCAGTCTCCCGAGTAGCTGGGATTACAAGTGCCCACCAGCAAGCACGCCCAGCTAATTTTTGTATTTTTAATGGAGACTGGGTTTCACCATGTTGGCCAGGCTGGTCTTGAACTCCTGACCTAGTGATCTGCCCACCTCGGCCTCCCAAAGTGCTGGGGTTACAGGTGTGAGCCACTACACCCGGCCTCTCTTAGTTTTTTAATAAAGAGGACATGAAGGATAGGTGACTTACCCAGAGCTGGTTAAAGATAAAACCCATTTTACTTGGCTGGCATAAAATTTAATTTAAAGGAAAGGTCTACACTACATTGTTTTCATCTGATAATGTTATTGGTGATCTTTTGCTGTTATATTCATTGGTTGGACCTAACTAGAAAATTATGTCTAATGTATGTTTTCCTTTCATTTAATTTTTTATGTTTGTGTTAATAGTTATTAAAATGATCAGATTCATTAAGTGCTATTCATTGATGGCAAGAAAAATAAGTATTATCAGTTGGCTAATTCTGACCATGAGGTGCTAGAAGTGAGTGTTACCATCAAAGACTATTGATTAAATTGTTAAATTTTTGTAATGATGATCATCTATGTAAAGTACTAGTATTTTAGGCTGGGTGTGGTGGCTCACACCTGTAATCCCAGCACTTTGGGAAGCCAACGTGTGCGGATCACAAAGTCAGGAGTTTGAGACCAGCCTGACCAACATGATGAAACCCCGTCTCTGCTAAAAATACAAAAATTAGCTGGGCATGGTGGCACCCACCTGTAATCCCAGCTACTCAGGAGGCTGAGGCAGGAGAATCACTTGAACCTGGGAGGCAGAGCTTGCAGTGAGCCGAGATAGCGCCATTGCACTCCAGCCTGGGCGACAGAGTGAGACTCTGTCTCAAAAAAAATAAAAATAAAAATAAAATGCTAGTATTTTCAATTGTTCACAAAGCCGATTTGTAAAGAAATTATTTAAATGGCATGATTAGTTTTTAATATTTAATTAGAAAAGCTGGTACATGTCCTTAGTTGTAGTGAATATAACTTAATTATCTAGCCTAATATAACCAAAATATTTTTTCTTAGTCTTTTTCAGAACTTTTTGTTAAATTTCTAGAAACAGAATCTCATCCATCCATTCCACCACCAAAGCTTTCTGTTCATAATATGAAACCTCTGGATTCACCAGGAAGAAGAAAACGAGATACAAATGCACCAGAAAGTTTTAAAGGTAAAACTAGAGATTTAATTTTTCTGTAATTTAAAAATTGAATGTTTAATGTATGATTATGTTTCACAGTGATATTAACTAAATGTTTAGTGTTTTTGAAAATGTGTAATGAGGACTTCCAGAATTCCAATAAGGCATCAGACTTTTGCTTCATATATTCTTGTAGCAATCTGATATTTAACTGACTTAGATTAATTTAAATGGTAAGAAATATCCTCCCTTTGTATATCCGAATAATAATACTCTGTCTGCCTAACCAGCTTTGAATTATTCCTCTGGAAGTAATGGGGAACTGGTTACATCTTTCTTGGCCACCTGCTTTCCTTTCTCACTAATGGTGTTTCTTGCTAATCCAAGTTAGATGTGTGTATATAGTTTGAGAAGGGTTTTTCTCCTTTGAAAATTTAAGTGCTAGACTCAGTAACCAAACATAGGCATGTTAATGTGTATAAGCGCAGTTTAACAAACTGACTGAGACTCCAAGAATGTAGAAATCACTCTTTTATGTTGAAAGATCTGCCTAGAGTGGATGGTTGGTGATTGTTAACATGTGTACATATTTTTCTGTTCCACTAAATTGTAAGGGTTTTATTTATGTTCATATCGTGTATACTGGCATGCAGGAAAATTTATCAAATTGAAATTGAATTATAATCTGTTGGACAATAAACAAATTCTTTATTGAAAGAGCTATTTTCTGAAATCTTCATATTTTAATATAGACTAACATGTTTACTAATTGGACTGTAAAGGTATATGTTATATACTCATTTATATCACACATCAGTGCTTAAATTTGGATAAAATAATAAAGAATTTATATTCTGAAATTTTGAAAACTTCTGTCATTTAGATAAATATTTCTATTTTTCTGGACTTGTATAGGAAGGGAAAGTAGTAAAATTTATCAGCCCTTTAGATAGTAGTTTTGACTGCTAAGTTTAGTGAAAAGACATAACTTTATATAAGAGATGTAGACTATACTGAAAACAGTTTTTCTTGTTACACTAGGTGGTAGCATCTTGAAATAGATTCCCAAATTCGTTGTGGCAGGCTCTTTCCCTCCCTCTCTTCCCTTCCTCCTTTCCCCTTCTTTTCCCACCCTTCCTTCCCCTTTTCTTCCCTTCTTCTTTCTTATCCCTTTCTCTCCCTCCCTTCCCCTTCTTTTCTCTCCCTTTTCTTTCTCTTTCCTACCTTTCCCTTTTATTTGATTAAGTCCATGCCCAGCTTGATTTGCATTGATAGGATACAAAAGCTAGTGATGGTTTGGGTTGATATAGGCATTGCATGAACAAAGCAAGCTTAGTCTTTAATCCTGAATTTGGAAGTGTGTCAGAGCTCACTAGGTGACACCAGAAGCTTGCCCAGAGTTTGGAAAGTTGTCATTCACAGGAAAGTACAGCTTGGGAACCCTAAGAGTGCTCAATGATAAGCAGATTTGATGAATTTGTCTTAGTGCTTTCTTTGCTTTAGGAGGTCTTTTTATTTGAGTTTCCCATTGCTGAAGTGGGTGCCTTCAAAGGATTGCTTGTCTCTTACCATTGAAGCTGTTAGTGGTGTTGGGTATTAAAGCAGAATCTGTCCACTAAAACATTAGGAATTTACCTATTCCAATAAAAAGGAATTGTATTAGCCCAACGTCACAGAAAAATAATCTAATCAAGATTGTTTTCAAACCTTTGACCGCCTAAAACATGATCAGGTAAGGTATGTATATATTGTTTTTTCTTCTGAACTGTTATTGTAATATGGGTTTGTTTTTCTTTATTGTAATTATTTGGGGAAAATGTAACTCCTCAAATCCTTCATTATTCAGGTGGGTAAGTAAAGAGTTTGCCTTGCAACATAGATGACACCATTTAAAAAGCTGTTATTATGGTAAATGAAGTTCATCAGTTACATAACTGGTATTTAAGTATAAAACAAGAGTTTTAATGTGTTTAATAAAGTATTAGATAAGCATACGAATACTCTTCTCTTGCCTTTTCTTTCCCTATTCATTCCTCTTATTCCTTATCTTCTTTCATCCTCCTGTCATGTATAGCATTGGTTTTTTATCAGAAAATGTTTTGAAATACCAAGAGTGAACATTAGTCAGATTTTAGCCATACAGATTAGTATTTGTATTTAGGAATTGAGGCCTATTTGTGCTTCCATTTTTTTTTTTTTAATTTTAATTTTTTGTTTTTGAGATGGAGCTTTGCTCTTGTTGCCCAGTCTGGAGTGCAATGGTGCAGTCTCCAGTCACTGCAACCTCTGCCTCCTAGGTTCAAGCGATTCTCCAGCCTCAGCCTCCCAAGTAGCTGGGATTACAGGCACCTGCCACCACACCCAGCTAATTTTTTATTTTGTATTTTTAGTAGAGATGGTGTTTCATTATGTTGGCCAGGCTGGTCTCAAACTCCTGACCTCAGGTGATCTGCCCACCTCAGCCTCCCAAAGTGCTGGGATTACAGGCGTGAGCCACTGCGCCTGGCTGTGTTTTCATTTTGAATTAAGAACAGTCCAAAAAGATATGCTGAATATCAGTGTTATTACTGTCAAGGAAGAATTTTTAAGTTGATAAGTGATACATTGATTATTTTTATTTATCTGTTAATCAATTTAACAATATTACATAGATAACTTTCTTCATGCTATTATATTCAGAGAGTTATTTCATTTTGACTTCTTTTTGCAAGATAGGAGACTAAATCCATATTTTATTCTTTAGATACAGCGGAATCCAGGTCTGGTAGAAGAACAGATGTAAATCCGTTTTTGGCTCCTCGCTCGGCAGCTGTGCCTCTTATTAACCCAGCTGGACTTGGACCGGGTGGGCCCGGGCACCTTCTTCTCAAACCCATCTCAGATGTTTTGCCCACATTTACACCTTTACCAGCGTTGCCTGACAGCAGCGCTGGGGTTGTGCTGAAAGACCTTTTAAAGCAATAGATGATTCTCAGCCAGAGACAATCTAGCACTTTAAAGAAACCATGAACACTATATGTATGTACTTTATCACAAAGTGGCCTTTGGGAAAAAGTCATGTATTGGTTCACAGTTATGCTTTCTCTGAATTTAATAAAAATATTCCTAATGCTTTTAGAAACTGCAGGTGTCAGGAGCAAGTGTTTGCTATATAATCTGCTTTATTCCTTTTGATTTGACCTAATTTAAGCTAGGAACATTTAATTTATCTATTACCTTAATTTACAAAAATACAGACAGACAAAAGTACTAGTACCTGTATGGCAGCTTTTTATTTCCTTCTATGATTTCCAAGCTCATTTAAGCTAGAGATTGTGGTTTATCAAGAGAGTTGTTTTTTTTGGTTTTTTTTTTAATGAAGGATAAAAAAATACTAGTATTGGCTTCTCTGCATAGTGCCGAAAGTTGATTTGAAGCATATATTGATCATCTTTAGAGGACTTTGTGGAGACAGGCCAACAAGATTGTCACTGGAAGGTGATAGGTACCCTGAGGTGAAGTATGTATTTGGTCCTGTGCAATATTATCATGTGTGTAGATTCTTTTTTTGTTTGTTTTAAATAGAGATGGGGTCTCACTATGTCGCCAGGCTGCCCTCGAACTCCTGGGCTTGAGTGATCCTCCCACCTCGGCCTCTCAAAGTGCTGGGATTACAGGCATGAGCCACTGCACCTGGCCCTGTGTGTAGATTCATGTGACTACCACCACAGGCAAGACACAGAAGACTTCCATTACAAGCATCCCCCATGTTGCCCTGTCATAATCATTGCCACCTCTCTCCCTGGCCCTCTCTCCTTAATCCCTGACAACCACCAACTGTTCTCCATCTCAGTCATTTTGTTATTTTGAGAATGTTATATAAATGGAATCAGTATAGAACCTCTTGAGACTGGCTTTTTTTCACTCAGCATAATCACCTTGAGATCCATCCAAGGTTTTGGATGTATCATTAGTTTGTTCCTTTTTATTGTTGAGCATATAGTGCAGGTATATCACTTAGTTTTAGCAGCTAAGCTATCTGTTTAAAGATACCATCTTAAAACTAAATGTTTCTTTACACAAATTCATACAACTTTCATATAAGCGTTAAACCATACAGCTGCGTCTACATAAGTATAATTAGCAATATCACTGAGCATGCCACTTCCTGCCTCCGTCAGCAGTGTTGACATATGAGGTACAGCAATCCGAGAGTCAACTGTTCTCATCACGGTGGCCACTGAGGGCAGTGAAATCACTTTGATAGCACCAGTACCCAGATGTTTGAAACTTAAAGTATTTCTTTAATTTTTCATAAACCCATTATTTAAAAAAATCCCAACTTGAAACTTAACTGTATCTGGATGTTCATATTTTTATTAGTTGTTGAAGTTGTACATTTAAAAAGATATTTCTTGCAAATTTTGTAAATTTCTATATGCTTTTAAAATAGAAACATTTGTATAACAAGGAAGGATGAAAATAAAACAAATTCAAATATGTGAATAGTCCTGGCTGAGGCCAGAACTGGATTTGGTTATTTGCAAGTTTTACTGTGATTAACTGTACTTTCTAATGTATTTGGAAGACAAGAAGTCTTAATTCCATGTTGATGGGTGAAACTTGTTTTTCTGAAAAATGAAGTAACTGAGAATGCTGCTTCAGAATGTCTTGTATCTCCTTAGATCACTAATTTATATTGCCATTCTTTATTTACTATACTTTAAAGGAAGTTGTCATACAAGTTCTATATTAGAACTGTCAAACTGCCTCTTCTTGGTTTTTGCCTGTTATTATTTCTCTGTGAGTTATTACTCCTTGGTTTTTATATGCTCCTAACAAAGATACTTTCACTGACTATCCTACATTATTTGCTGCTTGCCATTGAAGTTTCATTTCAGTGTGGAGAAATGAAATACTACTTTCTAAGCTAAAAAAAAAAGACACATGGTCCTTTATTTTTAAGAAATAGAATATGTAAAAAAATGTTCTCTTTTAATTTGAAAAAGAGATGCATGGTTGGTATTTAAGTACTATGTCATCATATTTGAAATGCCTTTTGTGATATTTTTGAGTATTTCCCTCTCTGACCAAAACAAGTTGTCCCCCTCTCATCCCAGAATTTAACATAAGTTTAAAAGCTGTTGTGGGTGGATTGCATAGCTAAACATCACAGAGCATGATATTAAATGGTTGCTATTTAAATAAGTATGTGACCTTGTCCTAAAGCTATAATACTGGCCGGGCACGGTGGCTCACACCTGTAATCCCAGAACTTTGGGAGGCCGAGGCGAGTGGATCACCTGAGGTCAGGAGTTCAAGACCAGCCTGGCCAACATGGTAAAACCCCATCTCTACTAAAAATACAAAAATTAGCTGGGCATGGTGGCAGGCACCTGTAATCGCAGCTACTCTGGAGGCTGAGGCAGGAGAATCGCTTGACCCTGGGAAGTGGAGGTTGCAGTGAGCCACCACTCCACTGTACTCCAGCCTGAGCGACAGAGCGAGACTCCGTCTCAAAAAAAAAAAAAACAAAAAAAAAACTGCAGTACCTAATGTTTTCATTGTGCCATTGAAACTATAGCTGACTGGTATGTATACTAAGTGTTCGTTGATCGAAACCAGATATAAGTCATCGAGTTTTCTGAAACTTAGTTGTGTCAGAGATGAACCACCTGCTCACTGAACCGTCTTAGTAACCAGACAGTGATGAAGCATATAATTCTAATGTTGGCACAGGACATTGCTAACAGTGCGTTTAACTGCAATATTTTAACTACAGTAATTTTTCTGTTTATTTCTCTATTCACTCAGTAGAATTTGTGGTTGAATTCCACCTTCGCTGCCATAGATTTTTTTACCACATTCCTAATGGTTTTCAACCTCTATACTGTAGTAGAAAATTCATCCAACTACTGAATTTAGTTTTAGCATAATACTGGATCAAATTGTTTGAATTTTCATTCCTGTCATTTTTGATTTTTAAAAAATGAAACAAAACTAAGCAACAAAACCGTAGGAAAAAAGGAATGGCTTCTTTCCAACTAGCCAATTAAAACATCCAATATCTCCCCAAATAAAGCGTTAGGTTTCTTTTAACCTCTTAATGGTTCATTGAAAAGAGTACAGAAACTATCAAAATATTTATCCAATCAATGGGGGAAGAGCTGTGTCTTCAGGGACAGGAGAGTGATGAGCATTTTTTAGGATACACTATTATGTGTCACACTTAAAAGCATTTGAACCTGATTTTTAAAGACAATGAAGTTTTCCACATATCGAAGTATTTAAAACATCTTCCATCCACAAAAATTTATCTTTAAGTTTTGTAAATATCAAGTAGGTATAGATGATATTTATTTTATATATTCCTATGGAAAAAAATGCTGCTTTAATGTTCTGATATTTGTGATTATTTGCCAGTCTTTACTTTTTAATTTATTAAAAAGTTAAATACTTATTAAGGTTTCTCTATGTAAAACAACTTAAATTGTCTTTTGATTTTTAGGGAAATATCTAAATGTGGGAAATTTCCAACACAACCTTAATATTAGGTTGTGTTATTTATAGAGCTAAAGTTAATGCATTTTTGAATTTCTCAGGAGCACTGCAAGGCAAAAAAAATACTCCAAATAAAAATGATATATGTAAGTTGGCAATGTCTTCATTCACAATAAAAAAATTTTTAGCAAACAGCTGCTGACTTTTTCTTTAGAAATGACTTACACATGTTGTTTGTAGCAGTAGTTGATGAACTACTGAAGCTAATGTCTTTATTCACCGGATGTCTGCTATTAGGATACTGTTTGAGCCTTGGAAATTTTAAGCATGAACAATTTATGCAATTTATAAGATGCTTGAGATTATGTATGAAAACAGGATTTGAAAATCCTGTTTTCATACATAATCTCAAAACTTCTGTTTTCACACATAATCTCAAGCATAACCTCGTCTCAACAAAAATACAAAAATTAGCCAGGCATGGTGGCACATGCCTGTAATCCCAGCTACTCAGGAGGCTGAGGTAGAAGAATTGCTTGAACCTGGGAGGTGGGGGTTGCATTGAGCCGAAGTCGCGCCATTGCACTCCAGCCTGGGTGATAGAGCGAGACTCTGTCTCAAAAAAAAGATTAAAAGAGGATCTGAGAGGTTTTAACCAGCCTTTTTTTTTTTCCTTCAGAGGGTATTGTACATCATTGGCCTCTGGTCCTTTTGCAAGATAATCAGTATGTCTTCATTTTTGCTTAGCTGTGGATCTTGAGTGCTTCTAGTGGTTCATATGATGGCAATACTGGAAGGATCATGGCTTTTAAAGTTGACAGCATGATTGGAGTACTGATTTTGACTCTTTCTGTGTGGCCTGTCAGAATTACCTTGACTGTGGGTCTTATTTTTCTCATCTCTGAAATGAGCCGACACCTACCTAGTAAACCCCATGGGGTTGTTAGGATCAAATGACACATTCATTCACAATGTTTATTAAGCGAATAAATGTGCCACTTGTGGAAATGCCTTCTAAAGTCCAAAATTCTATACAGATGTTCAAAGTTTATCACTGTCGATGGGTAGATAAGAATGTCAGGGAGTTAATGAAGCCAGGAGTTCTTTCCGAAAGGTAAGGAGAGGTCAGTGAATGAAGTGCCTGCTGCTGTGAGGGCTGGAGAGGTAAGGTTTTTTTTGTTGTTTTTGTTTTGTTTTGTTTTGCTTTTGTTTTGAGACGGAGTCTCGCACTGTCGCCCAGGCTGGAGTGCAGGGGCGCGATCTCGGCTCACTGCAAGCTCTGCCTCCCGGGTTCACGCCATTCTCCTGCCTCAGCCTCCCGAGTAGCTGGGACTACAGGCGCCCGCCACCTCGCCCGGCTAGTTTTTTGTATTTTTTAGTAGAGACGGGGTTTCACCGTGTTAGCCAGGATGGTCTCGATCTCCTGACCTCGTGATCCACCCGTTTCGGCCTCCCAATGGAGAGGTAAGTTTTAAGAAGCCTGTGCGGACTCGAGGACCAGAAGGTGGTTGTTGCCTTTGACTAGAGCCGTGTAGATGGAGTGGTAGGAACAAAGCCTCATTGTTGAGTGGGCAGGGAGCAAGTGGAGACAGTGTTTGTAAGCAACTCTGCTGAGAAACCACATTGCAGAAGGGGAAGAGGGCGTGAGTAGGAGAGGAGAGTGGGGGCGGTAGGAGAGTTGTTAAAAGCTGAGAGACTCGAACTTATGGTAAATGCTTATGGTGAGGACACGATTAGATGGAGAGGCTGAAGAGAGTATAGAGCGAAGAGTTCCTGAGAAAGGGAAACAGGACCGGAGAACAGTTTTGAAGGGATTGGCCTTAGATGGGAAGGACCCCTTTATCGGGGCTGGCACTATGGAAGAGAGGGGAGATGTAGGTGCGGGCGGATTTGGGTGGGGGAAGTTGCGGGAATTTTTCTCTGCAGTTGAAAGGAAGCTTATCTGCTAAAAACAAGGGGAGTAGGGCTTGGGGCTTGAGAAATTCACAGGTGGGAGAGACAGATGCATGTCCAGATTACTAAAGAAGTACGAGAAACGCTCGGGGGGCTCATGCCAAGCACTAGGGGCCCTGAGTTGGGCCTGGAAGACTGATGGGAGGAGGGGGAGTGGTTATTCAGCACATCTTGAAAGAAACATTTGAGCACTTAGGAAGGAAGCAAGCTAGGAAATGAAATGTCAGATAAAAGCCTAATGGTTCTTGCCCTAACCAATTCTACTGGAAGACAAAATGTCCCTAATCAGAAACTTGTTTTCCTGCCTTTGGGACTTAGGTCATGTGAATAATGATATAGCTGAGGGTTTTATAGCATGTTATTGTCATAATTTAGTACATCCAGTAAATTAATAATCCACTATAATTATAACAATATTTGTCTTGAAGATAAAAAAAATTCAAAAATGTTACTGTTTAAAAATGTTTTAAAAATGGATCACTTAGGGCAAATATTTGAACCTTTAGTTGGTTTTTGTCTTAGCTCCTAAAATGGAATCTTCCTGTATATCAGTCTTTTTAGCCTTTCTGGGGTTAAGAGAGTAATAATTTGCACTGTAGTGATATTTTAACTGTGATAATTTTCAGCTGTGACTTTTTACAAGCGTAGTCTTTTCAGCTCTAACATTCTTTGACTTCACTGAATTATTTTTTACCTTAAAAATTAAATCTCAATGATTTGAAAACATTTGACTGCTAACTTAAGAGTTTGGTAAAGTTGTCTTGTAAGTGTCCGTGGACTCTTAAAAATGTAAGATACATCATTTCTTCCTGTAAAATGCAAGGCACTTAGATGTTGAAGGATCTACTCATTGTGAGTTTTTCTCTCACAATGAGTCAGTCTCAAGCCCTTAGTGTAAATGGGAACGTACTGTACTCGAAATTCATACATTTCCCAAAGGACAAGTTTCCCACCTCCAGATAGTGAAGGGAGACATGATTTTTCTAAGAATTAGAAAATATATATTTGCTTCTGGTTTCCTCTTCATCTGTTTAGATGTATTTAAAGATCTGTGAGTCAACACGTAAATCCCTTTACTAAAGGATCACTTTACTAAAGATATATTCAGACACTCTCAGAGTAAAAAGATGGTGGTGGTGATGAACTTACAAGATCTAATGAGGTAAGTTTTATTTTTGAAAATTTATATGGACTGCTTAGTTTTTGAAATTTTTTGGAATCATTTTAAAGTCTTCTCCCTAAAGCGTTTCCATGCCACATGCACACGTACTCCGAGGGCAGTCTCACCTGTCGACATTCAACCTGTACTGCTCTCGTCAGCATTGCACTTGGCAACTGTAGCTTCTGTGTTGAAAATATGATGATCGTAAAAATCAATCCTTCATAAAATTGCTACTTGAGGAATTAAGACTTTTCTTCTGAGTCTTTCCACTCCCCCCGCTTTAGACACCAGTGTTACTTGCTGAAAAGAAATTTTACCTCGATGTTTTTTTGTTTGTTTGTTTGTTTGAGACGGAGTCTCACTCTGTTGCCCAGGCTGGAGTGCAGTGGCGCGATCTTGGCTCACTGCAACCTCTGCCTCCTGGGTTCAAATGATTCTCCTGCCTCAGCCTCTCGAGTAGCTGGGATTACAGATGTGCGCCACCATACCTGGCTAATTTTTGTATTTTTAGTAGAGACGGGGTTTCACTATGTTGGCCAGGCTGGTTTCGAGCTCCTGACAGGTAATCCGCCCGCCTCGGCCTTCCAAAGTGCTGGGATTACAGGCGTGTGCCACCGTGCCCGGCCCTGATGTCATGCTTTAATTTGTGTGTATGCATGTGTATGTGTCAAATGTTTAAAACATTTACGAGGAGACAATTGGACATTAGGAGGGACATCCGACTGTGGTGGTGTGAAGAGGTCAGCCAATTCTCCTTGCAAGAAACAAGTATAAAACTAAAATTGTCAAAACCAACCATTTGGGAGCTCTGGAAATTGACCAAAGGCAGACAAGAAATTGAGTTATTTTTGAAAAGCTTCTAGAGCTTTGGGTGGGAACCTGGAATCTGTGGCCTTCCTACCTGGGGCTTCCGTCACCCCTCAAACCTCCTGGCTTTTCTAGCCCTGAGCTGGTATGAAAGCCAGCAGCTTTGTTGCCCGAGGTGGTGAACAATGGTGGAGGTGGGGTGGTGCAGGACCCATGATGTCAATTAAAAGTGGTGAACTTGGAAGGAAACAAATGGAGAAAACTCTGTTTTGCTAGCCTGAGATTGCGATTCCAGATAGGGCAAGTGGTCAGCAGAAATTTAAAGCGGACATCCTGAAACAGAGATGCATAGAAGGTCCACGGTTGAGACTTGAGAGAGCCCGATGGGACGGAAAAGCCTAGACCAGCATGAGATTGGCCTTTGAGTGAGCTGCTGAACCTACACTCAGATCCATCCGCGGTGCAGGGAAGCCCTCTGAGGCTCCAGGTGTTTAACCAGCGCAGCTCTGCAGGAGCGACCCCTGGGAAGCCAGACAAAAAGATAAAAAGACTGTAAAACTAAGCAGAGACATCAGCAGCCTCATTCTTTTGTGTGGGAGGCAGATTCTGCAGTTACATTCAATCAAGCTTTAAAAAAAATCAAACTATGTCAGAATCAATACTTTATAAATCGTCTAGTTTTTAACCAGAAATTATGAGTAAGACAAAGAAGAAAGTGAGGCCCATACTCAGGAAAAAAGCAGTCGAAAGAAACTGTGTGGGCCTGGAAGTTGGATTTAACCCACAAAAACTTGAAAGCAGCAATTGTAAATATGAAGTATTAAAGGAAAGTATGTCTAAAGAACACCGAGTAAGATATTAACACTTGCGTACTCATTCCCTAGCTTTATCAAATCAGGTGCCGTATTTTCAATCAAACAGGATGCCACATTTTCTAAAGAATTTAAAAAATACTTTTGCTTCAAACTTTGAACATAGACATGAAAGTAGAGTGAGTAACATAGTGATTCCATGTACTCATCACCGGTCTTAACAATTATCCATTCAAGCTTATCAACTCTTTTCTTTTTCTTTTTTTCTTTTTCTTTTTCTTTTTCTTTTTTTTTTGGAGTTTTACTCTTGTTGCCCAGGCTAGAGTGCAACAGCACGATCTCGGCTCACTGCAACCTCCGCCTCCCGGGTTCAAGCGATTCTCCCGCCTCAGCCTCCCGAGTAGCTGGGATTACAGGCATGCGCCACCACACCCGGCTAATTTTGCGTTTTTAGTAGA